AATATCTACTTCTGATGTACTTTGATATTGTTGATCTGATACTTCTACTTCATATGTTATGTTGTGATGTGATATTATTTTATCACATGATATGAGATGATATGATCTGACATTGATGTGATGTGATATGATATTAAAACATGATATGATATGATATGTTATGACATTGATGTGATGTGATATGATATTATAACCTGATATGATATAATATGATATGATATGAGATTAATAACCTATGAGGTGATGATTAGATGATGATGTTGTGAGGGTGAAGTAGGAGAAAGTTAGTAAAGAATATGAAGTAAGGAAGGTGAAGTAGGATAAAGAGAGTCAGGAAGAGAGAGTGGGGAAGATGAAGTAAGAGAAAGAGAGTAAGGAAGAGAGAGTGGGGAAGATGAAGTAAGAGAAAGAGATTAAGGAAGATGAAATAGGCAGCAGTGCTTAAGGAAAAACCCTTCGCAGGTGCTTTCGGGAAAAATCTGCAAGAACCGTCCCAAATTCTGCCTTGTGAAATCTGTCTCCTTTGTTCCACGGGAAACCTCTCGGAAAAGTCGAGCTCCTCAAAGGGAATGGCCCCAAATCATTAGCCCAAACCGCTCGCGAGAAAGTGGAACATGGCGGAGTGACAATGACTGCATAAAAGATGCCTTTGGCAATCAGTTGCAACCATTTCTTCTGAACTGTAGGAAGTGTAAAATCTGACTTGCGATCGGATTGGATGTCCAGTTCTGTGATTACCACCTGAACTCCTTGTCGTTGTGCTAGCCTCCGGAGGAACCCCGCAACGGAATTGCGTCTCTTCCTGCCAGAGAACACGTATAAGACTCTCAAAGTCTTTCACTTGCTCCCGACTGTGTCAGGAGGAACAGCCTCTTTGCGGTTCTTTGGGTTGCGTTCGTAAAGGGGATGACGATCACTGTAGCAAATCCCGCAGACATGTTTGTATTTGCTTTTGCTGCTCTTGCATTTCTCTCCAGGTGTATTGTATCTGAAGCAGATCATCTCCCCCTCTGGTGTGTGGGTAGCGCAATGCGGATTGCTGCCCTTCCCTTTCCCCTCTTGGCTTTTCCCTTCTCTTTGCCCTTGCTCCCTTTCTCTGTTGATGGCCACTTTGCTGGCGGTTGCTCCCTCCATGGCGGTGTTGGCCTCTTTGCATGTAGAGCCAAGGGCGTTGTGAAGTTCCTCTCCTTGACGGTGGCGTCCTTCCAGGCCGTCTTGAGCGCAACCGTCAGTGGCTTGGCCTCCGTGTTCGTGATCCTCACTGCCTGCTTCCTGATCGCACGCTCATATGCCAGGACGAGCTTCCATGGCGGCGATGCAAAGGTCTGACCTTCAGCGTCCTTTGCATTCAGGCCGTAGACGAAGTCACCGAGGAGGTAGTCCTTATACTGCTCGACTGCTTCCTCCCAATTGCCTTGAAGCTCATGCCTGTTCGAATGCTTCAGCGAAATCATGACCATTGCGTTCTTCCATATTGTCAGCCGTCGACGAAGTTCTTCAGCGTTTGTCGGTTCTTCCACTTTCGTCGACCCTCGACGCATGGCCAATCGGCCCTTGGAGTCCCAAATAGGCACCACGGAATCGGGCTCAATCTCCTCTTTTGACACGACCTCGGTCAGCTCTTCGGCACGGTATTCACCGTTTTCAACCTCGGCCAACTTCTTCTCAACAAATTCCTTGGAGGGGTAGATCTTGTCATCTAAATGCCCGTAGCGCTTCTCCAAAGCCGAGCGCATAGCTGCCCATTCCCCGGCCACCACGGGCCTGGACCACTGGAGTGTATCGTACTCCGCATCAACCTCGGCCGCTCTCTGGCTCCTCGTCTTGGCGTTGGTGAACGCACAGGTGATCGCTGCCACCTGCACTCTCTCCTCAAGCGTCCTGCTTGCATCCAACTCCCAATGATCCTTGAGGACCACTGCCAAATCATCACGGTCCTTGGCGAAATTCGACAGCTTCTCCAGGGTCGTCACACCATGGTGGTAGAATAACTTTTGGTTCTCAAGGGTCACCTCATGTCTTGACAACAAGTATTTGATGTCTGCGCCAGCCGATTCCAATGCCTTGTTCCCCTCATCGTCCGCGAGAGACGCCCGCGGCATGGTGAGCCTTCACGCCCACGGCCCCGCACCCTTCCTTTTTGAACCAAGGAGCAAGCAGCAAGCGATGCTGTTCTTGACACTGCGGTGCCAACCGTGCATGCTATGCACATGTCTGTCCACATGCGATGCGACAGTGAATCTTTCCTACCCGCAGCCTGAGCGGCTCGCCCAGGGCGGGGTGTCTCTACCCCCTACCAGTGTGCCTCCCCAGGTGCGACCTGGGCCAACCCTGCATGCCCTTGCGCAACACCGCCCCTGGGTGCGACCCAGGGTGTTCCACACCTTTCTTACTTCCCGTCCGCGCCCCGGCAACCTTTTCTTCAGTCGCTGAGGCCCAGCTCATCCTGTGAATCACTTGTGGACTCACTGAGCTGTTCGTCCCCTCCACTCCAGCACAGCTTGCATCGGAGTGTGTACTCCTCGGGCTCCGGGAGATCCTTATGCGTCTCGGACCTCAGGAATGCTCTCTTCCTTGCCATCCAGCAGCCCTTCTCCCCAAGCCGGTGCAACGTCCCCCGTCCAGCGCGCCTATATACAACCACATAGCCTCCTTCTCTCTCCTCTTCCAGCGCTTCAGACATTCTCCTTCTCTTCGCACCTTTGTTGGCCGTGCCACTGCCTTCCTTCTCGCTCTGGGATCCATCATAGATCGTAGTGTCCTCATCCGACAGTTGTATCGGAGCTGGACGGATGCCCTTCGCACCAATCTTTTCCTTCCAGGCTTCGACTACTCTGTCTGCCTGGTCCTCAGGCACTGTCCATTTCTCATGCAGCCAGACCTTCAACTCTTCCAGAATGGAGCCCTCATCCAAGTCTCCATAGGCTGTCTCACTGCGAAGGACCACCACAATCCTTTTCTGCATCTTCTTGACAATGGCGTTGTAGGTCCTGACATATACGTCAGAACCTTCTGGGCACCACCTTCCCAACAGGTCGCGATCTGACTTGTCTACACCAGGCCGCTAGGTAGGGTTGCCCTCTCACTGTGCTCAGACCAGAACCTCTCCCATCCGGAAGGGATAAGCCGGCCATTGTAGCCCTCAAGCAATGCAAGCGTCTTGGAGCTGCCTGCAACTGCCTCGGCATAGGTGACATGCGACGCACCGTACGCTGTACCATAAAAACAGCCCTCCGGGAAAACGTATGCGCGATCCCTCGGCATCTGCAGCTTCACAAGGTCAAAGCCAACTGCCAACCAGTCCTCATGCACAACGTACGCTTCTTTAGCAATGTATATTGGGAGCTCTCGCACACGCTTTCCAGCCCCAGTTGTCTTTGATTGATGCATCATCCCAATCAGCTGACCGTCGTAGAAGCGAATCTCGGTCTTCAAGTGTGCTGCATCGTCGAACCTCATCGAGGCCCACATCTTGATGAGCTTGAACCACGCGCAGACCCGCACATCGAAGGATACTGCACTGTCCACCACCAAGGTTTCCATCGGCGCGATGAAACACCCTAGCCAACGGGGCGCCCGTCGTACCGGTGGTGCTTTCATCTCAAGCTTCCGTGTCAGCTCCTTCATCACCAGTTGCGGGAATTGCTGATTCATCAACATCTCATCCTCTGGGGTGCCTGCGGTCTTCTCGAACCATGCCACGGCTGTGCTCACCGCTAGTGGGATTGAAGCGCCCATGCCGCCCTCTTCCTCTCTGGCGTACATATAGTCCACCAATGTCACACTGTTCGGGCGTTGTCCAGGCTTACCCAATGCGTCCGCCCATTCTCTGAAGCGCTCCCAGGAGGCCAGGTATCTTCTCACCGTCGAAAACCTGTACTTTCCAATAAGAGCCTCCTTGGCTCTCACGGGGTTCATAGCCTTCCGGATCTCTTCCAGGATGGGCGCCTTGTAACGCACTAGTTCATCCACCAGCTTGTCCATCACCTTGTCGTTGACTTCTTCCTCTGAGGCAACCCGTCCACTCCTCAACCGAACTGTCCTGCCCAAAGTCCCTCTCTTTGGAACAGCTGGTAGGAGCACTTGGGCGCTAGGAGGCTCGAGGGTTTTCACCTTCTCCTTCTCGATGGCTGCCCGGGCATCTAGCAAATTTTGGATCGACCTAGTTGACGAGGACCCAACCAGTCTTTCTTCCAGATCAGCCACTTGCACTGCTTCACGGACCTGCCCCGTGATGAACTCCAAATGCCAGGGCTTGTTTTCAAGGCCTAGGCGTTCCGCAAGCTGCCTCGCCAGAACATGTTCTGTTCCATGGCTCACCGCAAGCATGCCGCCTACAAGGCCTAGCTCGGACAGGAGAGCCAGGAGGCTGGCCGCCTCCTCCGGATCGGGGGCACAAGTGCCCCCCATCCATCTCCTTTCCAAGCTGAAGATCACCTACCCTCGAGCCTCCAAGCAACAGGTGTTAAATACTGTCATGACTAGTCATGAATGCATTCCTGTCGGTCTCCTGAAGACTTTGTGATGCTAAGTGATGCACTATTCAGCGTCATTATATTTTGCGTCAAGCGCATCACCGAGACCTCAAAAACACACATGTTCATGTTCACTACCTTTTCGACTGCCTCTCGTTTTCGCTCTCCCCCACTAGTCACTAGGCTCTGGGTTCACCCTACCCGCAGGGACCGGATTTGCAACCACCCCCCCACACACACACACACACCCTGTATACTCACTTCGTTCGCCCATCGACAACTGCAGCCTAGCCTATCGGCTGGCTTTCATTATATAAATATAGTTTGAAAATTAAAAACTCACCATACAGTAATATATACATATATCCTTTGAGACATCAACCCTGTGGAAAGTCGAGTTTTGTGACAGAGCAAAACTAAGCTTTCTCAAGAATCATTGAATCATTGACGTCGTCATTGTCTGGCCTATTTCAAACCTCAATTCAAACACGGGTTGAAGGTACAACGTGAGACTGATGCTCCTGCCTTGTGGGCTTTCCCTTTTGCCAACTTCTGCTGGTAGGGACTGAGCTGGCTCCAACTGGATCGAAACTCTGCGGCTTCTCGCTGAAGCACCTCTGCAATGCGCTGGTCCAACGAAGGCATGTCCAGAATCTCGTCCTGTTCCCTCAAGCTGAAACCCATTGGCTGCCCATTCATGTAGGGATGAAGCCTTTGAGTGTGTGGTGACATCTCAAAGGTGAACTCAAAGCATTCACCTGAAGAATATCTACCGCCCGACATAGCGCCAGCACATGCGCTCGACATGCTGGGCTGGTCAGATCCACTGATTCGTCCACTGGCGGCCTCAACGGAGGATGGAGGTTTCCTATTTCAATTGAGGGCTCAGGAAACTGGCAGTGAAGGAACCTCATAACTTGGAGAACTACAGTAACATCTTCCAGGAGTCAAACCTATCCCTCACCAATCATAAAACACCCGCTTTCGCCCGCCATGGGTCCCAAGCCTCATGCAAGGCAGTGACCTCCCGAAGCCGGGTCCGCAGCTGTGCCCAGCGCTTCTCTTCGGCCTCGATCGCGCGGCGCGTCTCGGCGCCGGTCCAGGCGGCCGCGCGGGCGCCGCGGGCCGCACGCCGCGGCGCCGCCCGGTCGGAGGGAGTGGTCGCGGCGAGCAGGAGGAGGATGTCCACGGCCTAACGATTCCCCCAAGAGTCGCACGAAGCGGAGTTGGGAATTGGGGCCACACGAAAAGAAGAAGGCTTTGAAACAGAAACTCCAAGCTGGTCCAAGCTGCTTCTCAATATTCTCAATCCGCACTGATCCGATCCCTCCCCTCCTTCCGGCCCGGTTCCCCAGTTCCCCTTCCCGCCTGACGTTGTCCGTGCCGGTGCAAGCGATCCTCGGCCTGGAGCAGCCACGAGGCGTCCGGCGGCAGCTCGACGAAGATGGCCAGGGACGCAGCCGAGAGGTCAACCCCCACGGCCTCGACGCGGTGGAGAGTCGTTCCGAGGAGAGTCGTAAGGCACATGGAAAGCACTGAATGCCAATGGGTTTGGATCCATTTGGGTCTGTTTGGGTCCATGTTCCTTCTTCCAGGGGGGGGGCCTGTAAGGAATCTCCCTTATTCCTACAGACCCATATTGTAATATATAACCGGACCGGACAAACAATGAGAACTTGGAAGCCCAAAACTGACAGAAACGATCTGCCGAGAAACGCACGCTGTGACTCCGATGAAGGCCAGTGAAGGCCCATTCTTGCTCATGAACTTTGATAGAAGGCTTTGTCGCGTGATCGGTGGTGTCGAACCGTCAATGCGAATTGAGTCGAGGTCCATGACTCTGCAAAGACGGTCCAGAACTCGGATATGGTGGGCAAAAACCACTGCTTTCTGGCCTCAGATGTTTGGAGATTTCATTGCTTACTCAAACCACTACCACCGCAAGTTGGAAACCCAAAACGTTCCAAAAAGTGCCTTCCATGCGTCCACCTCCGCAGTGGCTCACCAGCTTCTCTTTCAACCAGCTCTCTGCTGCAACCAGCTTCAGCAGCCCGCAGCGTTCGAAGTCCGTCGAAGCCGAAGTCTCAGCCTCACACAGGCCGCTTGCAGCGGCAGTCAGTGCCAGGCGCACGAGGCGCCGGTGCTTGGGCGGCAAATCCTGAATCAGAAGTCGATAAGGTCCAAGCCGTTCTTTGGTTATTGAGAAATGCTTAGAAACAAGTGCCAAAGAATGATACATGACTTCAAGGTCAATGTAACTGGACTCCAGGAGGTGCAATTATAGGAGGAAGACCAACCTTCACTGCGCTATCTCTGTCTTTTCTCCCACCTCCAAAACCTGGCTCTTCCTGCGACGCACCATGATCGCATCCCGCAACAAAAGTGCCAGCTGCCAGCTGCGCCGACAACGCCCTGGCAGGAGGTGACTGGATGAGGACAAAATGGGCTCATCATAGTCACGGGCGAAGCTATGAAAGGACTCTCCCAGCAAACCAGGACGCAACAAATTCGCCTGGGTGAAGATATCCAGGTAGTTTGAGCGTGAAGGAGTGCCGGAAAGGAGAAGAACGCGTGGGATAGGCTTCAGCAATTCCAGTACAGCTCGAGTGGCTTGCCCTGCCTTTCCATTGATCATGCGCAGGGCATGGGACTCATCAACGATTGCCAAACGCCATGGGCGTTTGCTGAGGTTCTCAAAAAGCAGCCTCGCCATTGCATAAGACACAATGACCACCCGTATATCGCCCAGGCCACCTTGATCCCGATTCGCTGGTAGCATGTCATTGGAGGAGTAAATGACATGAACATGACGAGGTTGCAAGATTGCTGGAAGCCATATTTCCAACTCCTCAGCCCACACCAGACGCATGCATGCAGGGCAAATGATCAGGACTGGCCACAAGTCGTAGGCTGCAACAACACCAAGAGCCTGCGCTGATTTTCCACATCCCATTTCATCTGCAATCAGGCAACGACCACCCAGCTCCAAAGCCCGACGGACCCCTTCCCATTGAAAGTTTCTTAGCCTCGAAAGGCACGAGGCGCGTGAAAGCGCCGCTTGGCAAAGGCGTTTGGCCTCCCGACTTGCCAGCTGGAAGGTGGCATCAGGTGGATTGGAGACCTCTCTTCGCAAGAGCTCCTGCCAGTCCAACTCCTCCTCTGTCGCCACACCAGCTGCGACTGCCACCTGCACCAGGTCCCTCTCCCAGAGTGCGCTCCTTTGCCGGAACAAGTTCATGAGTTCCTCCCCCGAGAGTTGAACCTTGGAAGTCCAGTCTCTCCAGCATCTGTCAGCGTCATCGAGGACTTGAGCGGCCCACTTAGCCGTTGGCATCCAGGATTTTCCATGGAGATATTGTGCTGCTGCCACTGGCAATTGGTCGACTCGAACGAGCTTCCCTCGTTTTCCTGTTGCATGTTCCACACGGTCTGTCACTGCCTCCAGCGTTCAGACCGTTTTGAATTGAAATATGTATACATGTATCTATATCTGTGTATATGTAATATACTATACACATACAATATTCTACACAAGCATTGGACAAGATGCTAGAATATGATAGACCGAATGACTTGTCAACGTCAACATATTCAAATTGAACCAAAATCTTCACAACTCTGAGAATACTTACCTCCTGTGATTCTTGCCCCCTATCCGAGTACGTTTGATCCCCGCCTTCAAGCGCTCCAGCGCCATGTCCATCTGTCGATGATCAAAAACGTAGCCCACACGCTCCACGCGCCCGGATCGTGCCACCACCTCTGCACCGTAGAAGACCCAGCTCGGATCCTCCCAATCCTGCACCGGCTCACCAAACCTGGGCAGTGGGTCCACAGAACGGACCCCAAGCCTTGAAACGCCCAGAGTTCCTCCAGTGAGGGAAAGCTAGCTGTTTGTGGAAGAAATAACCCCCCCCTGAAAATAAAAATCATCGTTTTTGGAGTGCGGCGGACCCTGCGTCCACCCCTGCGTCCACCCCTGCGTCCGAGAGGTTGTTGATCCCAATTTAACTGTGTCAAACCATGCGTCCAACTGCGTCAGTGCAGTGTTATTCCACATTGTGAAAACACCATGTTACACACCCGGCCGCACACTTTGCCACACACACTTTGTCGCCATTTTTTGGTGTTTTGTTGTGTTTTCATTGGTTTTCTATGACTAGCTCGAAGAAATTAGGGTTTCGTTTAGGGTTTAGGACGTTTAGTGGCGGCTAGAATTTCGCTACTTAACCGTCCTGAACCCTGAACCGCTCCTAAACCTAGCCGAGACAAGATAAGATGCGGATAGTGATGCTGGCACTATACTGACCCAAACACTCCAAAACATCAAAACCGATTTTAAACCGTTCCAGTGAAAGGACATGTTCCAGTCTCATGGCTTGGTGCATCGCATGGAGTTTCCCTCACGAAAACCTCGTAAGAACTTCTCAGAAACCTCGCGGGAACCTCACGGGAACCTCTCGAAAACGTCGCGGAAACCTCGCGGAAACGTGCCTTGAAAGACTGCTTAGTAAAGGATCCTTTACTAAATGATTGATTTAAAGGTATATCATCGGTATATCTCCGAGAGGTTTTCGAGAGGTTTCCGAGAGGTTCTGGCGAGGTTCTCGAGAGGTTTCCGAGAGGTTCCCGCGAGGTTCCCGCGAGGTTCTCGAGAGGTTCGCACTGGGCGCGCAAACAATTTGTTGTGGGGTTGCCCAAATTTGTTGGTGCAATGTCATGACAAACTTGCTGCTGAAGAGGCTTCCAACCCCTTGTTTTTTTCTACATGTGGTGTTTTTTTGGTTTGCGCACCGCTAGATGCACACCCCGCCGCAAGCCCGGCAACACACCCGGCACACCCTTCGGCACACCCCGCCGCACACCCGGACACCCACTTTTCCATGTATTTTGGGTGCTTTTGGTGCACCTTTAGGTTGCCAATTCTGACGCGCACCTGGACGCACTACTGGACGCACTACCCGCCACACCCCTTTGCCATGGTTTCGAGAGGTTACTAAAAGGGCAAGTTTGGATGCACCCCCGGACGCACTACTGGACGCACTACCCGCCACACACAAGAGGACAAGAAGGAGGAAAGTAAATATACACAGTAGAAAAGCTAGGAAGAGCAAGAAAAGCGCAAAAGAAGCATGAAAAGCAAGAAAAGCATTAAAAATCACAGGGGAGCAATGAAAAGCAAAGGAAAAGCAAAGGAAAAGCAAGACAAGCACAAAAACAAAAATAGCAAGAAAAGCACGAGCAACCACAGAGAAGCAATGAAAAGCAAGCAAAAACAAAACAAATACAAAAAAGCAAGAAACGGAGTAGAATTCATCGAGGAGCAAAAAAAAGCCAGAAAAGCAACCAGAAGCAGGTCCAAAAAACATCCCTAAACGCAACCAAAAAAGGAATCCCTGAAAAAACCTCCGAAAATCCACACCAAACCTTGAAAAAGCCTCGGGTATCAGTACGGTTACCCCTCATTGTATGCAGACGTGTGCCAAGTGACTGAGCCTCCTCTGCCCAAGCGCGCAACTGCCCACAGTCCCGAGCCCCTTTGGCGTGGACGCGTATCATGTCGAAGCTTTCCAGCTCCACTGTGAGCGTCACAGGATCCTCCAGGTCCTGGAGAAAAGTTTCACATGTCAAAATCATGTTATCACGTCGCTAGTAGGTTGGAGGCCATGGCTCTTAGGTTCGAGGCCATCGCTATTCTGTTGGAGGCCATCGCTAGTAGGTGGAGGTCATCGCTATTGGGTTGGAGGCCATCACTCTTAGGTTGGAGGCCATCGCTAGTAGTTGGAGGCCATCACAGTTCTCACCTTACCGAACGAAAGACAGAACCCAGACCGAAATCTCGCTGTCCTACAGTTCAATTATTTCAGCAACACAAACGTTTCCGCCCAATATGCATCTGCAAGACCTGCACCTTTTGAACATTGTTTCTCAGTCAAGCAGGTCCCAAGCCCCGATCCTGAACCTGCATGCGCGCGACCGCTTTCTCCAGTCTTTCGATGTGGCCACATCCACAAATCAGAAAAAGACCAAACCGGCCATTGCGGTGCCGCAATGATTCGCCACAAGAACAGCGAAAAGAACCATCTTCTATGGCCAAAAGAAGTCTGCAAAAGTCTTCGTGGCAAATTTTGGGGCCAGTGGCGCGCCTGGTTGATCCTGTTTTTTTGCTTTTCAATTTGGACTGGACACGAATTGGCGAACCACCAGCATAAGTCTGCCGCAGCGCCAAAACCTCATCTTTCAAAGATCCCCCGTGCTCAACAAGTCTCGCTGTAAGTTGGGCTTTGTTCCCTGCTGTTTCTAACCCCCGTGCTTTGCAAGCTGCTTTTAGCTGGCACACGCGGAGCTGCACAAAATCTGCTTCAGAAGCAGGTTCTGCCATAGGAACGCCGTGTGGGATGGACGTGTCATTGTGTGGGATGAAATCATGTCTGGGTCCATGCCCTGTTCAAAAGCAAAGCTGAATGGAGTTGTCAGAAACACCATGATTCTAACAGTTATTTTCCAAAACACTGCAGTTTTTGCACGCTGCATGCAGAATGGAGGAAATGGCCCTTAAAAGTTGGATATGCGCTGAGTCTCAACAGCTGCATTTGGAGACTGTGCGTTTGCCATGTCCAACAACCTTTTTGTGGATACCTCCCTGTGGATCATTAAAACGAAAGAAACTTTAGAAAAGTGCCCAAGTTTGATTTCACTTGGCCAAAACATAAAATCCCAATGTGATCCAAAGTTGACAAAATACATAAACCGAGTCGGTAAACGCAATTTGGGCAGTGTGTCTTGCCAAGACCTATATGCTACGGCCCTTCTAAATTCGCTGAGGATGATCCGGCCAGTCCACATGAAGCACACAAGGACCTAGGAGGCTACACAACCACAGTCACGTACACGTACAGCCGCCCCACGGATGTTTTGGCCGTGTTTTTGGATGTTTTGCGGCTTCGTTCAGTCTGTGGGATCAGAATGTTCAAGCACACTGTCACATCTCTGTGCTGAACACTTCGAAAATCACGGAGGAAAGTACAGGCCACGTACTGGAAAGAACTTCATCTTTCATCAAGCAGCTTGGCAAACTAGTGGCTTTGCTAGTGGTTTAGGGGGACCCAAAGACCACAAAGAGTGAGGACTTTGTAGTTGGCATGTACTTCGCTCAGAACAAGGCAATAAGAGGCGGTAGCCTGAATGAGAGATTCAGGTTTTATGTCAGCAATACGGATTGCAACAATGCGCTATGCTTATTGAATCACTGCATCACGGATGCAAAAAGAGAACGACTCTGCTACTATGGGCGCTTTTGGTCTGGAAATAACTGCCATTACATTGTTCCATCTGTGCCAAAGTGATATGCCACTGCGAACGCGTGAACGCAGCATCTGCTCAGGCTCAAGGACGCCTGCAAAGAATGTGGTTGAGCGCTCGTCCAAGAATCTCTTTCACACTTGTTTCGATGCTGAAAGGCAAACAAAGCGGCTATCGGCTATGGTGGCATGGGAGACGTTTTCCTCATGAAACCCCAAAAGCCCTGCGCAGGGGCTCACTCTGGACATGACCTGAGACTCCGGACCCTCATTCCTTCTCGCCTGGACCCGCATGCAGCGAAAATGGGGGCCATGTGCGGTGTGGGAACTAAACCAAGTCCTTCCAAGCGCGCAAGTGCCCACTCAGATCCCTATAGAAGTGCATCGAAGAGATACAAGGTTACTCAATTACATCTGAAGAATCCCCAAGTTTACAGTCCAACTACCAAATCAGCCCTTCTAAAACACTTCCTGGAAAAAAATCCTAAACGAAGAAAGAAGACCTCTGGCCTTTGAACCTCTTTCAGACCGGTCGGACACCTTCGGGCGGCGGGTCCGGCCTTTCTCCCAGGAGTCCACCACGATCGATGAGCCGCACAAATCCGCACCGTTCAGCGTGGCCTTGGCCGCTTGGGCCTCTTCAGCAGTGTTGTACCTCAGGTCCAAACGGCAAAGGTGTCAGGTCATCCGAGTCGTCAAGGGTCTAAACAGGCATCATCCGTCTCAAGTGTACCTCACCATTCTGCATCATCTGACAAAGGGGGCTGCTGGGGGGGGCATGCAACATCTCACCCGATGTCCTTTTGCTCAGTTCGCGAGACGGCAACTTGCAGAGTCACGCAACCAAACGCACAAAAGGTCGGGAATCGTATTCTTGAATCTGCTTTCCATCTGCGGATCAGGGTCCCCGAGCACAACGGCACCTGTACCCTTGCCCTTGCCACGAAAGATCTCGACCCATCTGCTTTTGCCTGCCTGTCACAAAACAACATGATCACGAAGCTTGGGAAGCTCTGTCCTGATGTGTTAAAATTCTGAGACTGGTTCTGAGATGGTGCCACTCTGCCCAAAAAGAACCCAACTCTAGGATCAAGGCCAGTTTGTTAAGCTGCCATGTTCCCAGAGCTCATCAAGTGGTTGGAAAATGCTGCTTTTCAAAGCCAAAAAGAAGTGTAGGCCTTGTCCACCAGCGCTTGCAAATCCTTCCACTTGGCCTCCTCGGGGATGTTTCCAATCCAGAGCTTCTTGGCGGGATCCTTGGTGGATAGCATCACAACGATGCCGCATCACTGGTCGCGTGATTGGAATTGCAAATACTCGCCTCGTGTTCCGGTTGTTTTTTCTCAACATTGCCAACAAAATCAATCCAAAAAACAATCATAAAGTATATCTTGCAATCACACCCCAAGCGGGCGGAGAAAACTAAAGTTGTCTTTGTCGCTGAAGTCACATTCCGAGGCGAGCACCACGTTCAATTGAGGACTGCGCTTTCCCTTTCCTTTGCCCTTGCCTTTAAAAGGAAACCTCAAGGACCAGCATGGAGCACGGGTGGTCAGTGACTGCTCAAGCTCAATCCCGATGATGTCATTCATGCGACATCCGCGCATGCTGTTTGTTTCATGTTGTTCCTTGCGTGGAACAAATAGACCGTTCAAGACATTATTGAAGGCATCCATCATATTTTTGATAACCAAGCACTTCGCAGCTGCCTTCTGAACTATTCAGGTCATGCAGCATGGGAGGCATCATCATGCCATAGCCATACCCCATCATGCCCTGGCCAAAACGTAAAAAAAACTGCCTTTCTCTGCTTTCAATTCAGGAAATATCCAGACTTCTACCCAAGCTGATTGCTGCTTAAAAATGCTCAAAGGATTTGGGTCTGCAGCTGGGCCGGGGTTTGTGTCACCTGCCCCTATAGGATCGAAACACATGTTGAAAAGTGAAGTCTTCGCTTCGCTTGCGCCTTGCCGCCATCCCAAAAGGGAGGACCGTAGAAGCCCTTGCCACCCCAACCTGCAAGTGATGAGAGACCGCGTCAAACAAACCCGCAACATTCCGCCACCGGCCTTTGCCGTAGTCGCCGTAGCCCTTTCCGTACATGTCCTCGCTCTCTTTAAACCAACGCTGAGACACTAAGGAAGATCAAGCTGCACTTAGTTTGAATGGTAGACAGGACTTCGCTGTGATTTTGTAGACAAGAAAAGTTGTGCCCACACCTCAAAGGTTGCGAAATACCTCAGTCAAGTGAAGTTCGTAATTTACTGGGGCCAAACTCATGATGGCGTAAATGGTTGACAGCAAAAAACAAAACTGCAGCTGCAACCTGCGTTTGAAGTGTGATCTGCGCTCGCACCTCCAAATGGGCGCAAGTTGGAGCGTTCCGGCAGAAATGTTGGATAGCTTAGCTGGTGTCAAGGCCAAAAGATGTGAGAAAATTGTGCGTTCACGTGTTGTTCGGGGAATGTATTGTGGAATGCGTGTGTCCATACTTCATGAACCATTCTGGGTTTCCGTTTGAACCAAAAATGTCAGTCAAAATCATGCAAGATTATTGAAATAACATCAATGCATGGATTCACTCGTATGAAACAAGAGTGACTATGGGAAAGAATTGTCAAATCGTGCTCAATTTAGACATATCCTGTTCAATGTCGGAAGAAGTACTGGAAAAACCAATGCCAGGGCCAAGAGGTTTGCAGCCAGAATTGCACGCATGTGCAATCTGCGTGTCCCATGTTTGTCATCACAAAGTTTGGTGTCTTGAGCGCTCTGGTTTTTGCGACCGGGGGTGCAGTCGATCTTTGTTTGGGTCTGGCCAAACGTGGGTTGGCTTGCAGTAACGCTCAAATTTCGTTATTTGGTTTCGCAATCCATTTTTCACTAATCTCAGTCAAGTTCCAATGGAGTCCAATCTTATAAGTCGCTTTGGTGACAGAATAAGCACAGTCTGGGCCGCAAGGAGGCAAGCTCTGAAAGCTAGTTCTTGGACCAGTTGCAGTAGGCACTGCTTCACCTGTTTTCGACGTTGTTAGAACTTCAGTCTGTGGCCTTAAGATGTCTGCTCTGACCTTCAGGTTAACTTGGTCCCTTGGTGTGTTTTCTGGTTCCAGTAAGGTGCATCGGAACAGACTGGTTCTACAAGTGTAGTAAATCCCCTTACAAAGCGCTACGGACAGCAGGCTTCTATTTTCCGAGTGCAGGAATTTCTCATTCAGTTCCCCCCTG